AATAGACGTTGATTATTTTGTACTTCCCATTTAGTCATTTATTCCTTTAATCCACTTGTTTTTGTTCTCTAATAGGTTCCCTTGGCAGTACAAAAGTGAGTAATATTCTGTTGTTGCAAATACCAGATTTTTTTTTTCTTTCCTAACGCATTTTTTAGGGTTTCTAGGCTGCTGGTATTTCATTGTGTATATATACACCACATTTTAAAATTCATTTATATATTGATGGGTATAACTTAGCTTTTGTAAATAATGCTGCCGTGAACATGGGAGTACAGTTAAAATTCACTGGAAATACACCCAGAAGGAGCGGTGCTATATCATATGGTCATCCTGTTCTTAGTTTTGCTGAGGAACTTCCGTGCAGTTTCCTATTAATGGGTGTGCTAATTTACATTTCCACCACCAAGAGTAGCATATAAAGAACTTCTATGAGTTATATCCCTAAAACAGTATAAAACAATAAAGCAGAGAGAAGAAAATTACTTTTAAAATTATCTGCATTAACTCTCTCCTTTCAATGACTTTTAAGTATGCTAATTCATATTTTTCATTAAATGTATATTTTCATATTCTTAAAAGTCAAATAGTGCGCAAGGGCTTAAAGTGAAAAAAATTTTTTCATTTTTCATCCTTTTATTTCACCTCCACTGCTCTAATATGAATATGTCTTTTTAACAAAACTACTTTTAAATGACGACAGGCATTATCTCTTACCTTGTACATCTTCTTATTTCTTATTTTATTGTAATTCTCCCATTATAATAGCTACCTCCTGATTATTTAACTTCAAATAATTCTCTTAATCACATATATTTTATTTTCTGTATATCTTGACTTCCAAATTGGGAGTGGATGATTTTAATGATCTTCCTTTTCCCCTGTATCTACCGCTTAGCCTTCATCATCTTTCTCTTTAATTGGCATCATAAAAGTTGACAACAAATATATTTCATTGCATATTGAGTTTTCCATTTGTGTGTAGGTGGATTCTTAAATTTGAAAATCAATGATTGACATTTGCATCATTATGCCTGTAAATAGTGTGAGCTACAAGTGAAGATATTGGGCTATGATTATGTTTTCTCCACATAAATCCAAGTTATAAACTGTCTGTTACTTCATGATGAACATTCTACGGATTCCTTCTTACTTCTATTCATTCCATAAAATAAAGTCACGTGTTAGTTTTATACTTCATACCACAGCTTTCTTTCTCAGTGACTTGTTTCCCTCTGTTGGAAAAATAAATAGCTGCTTCCTTAGCTTTTCCCTCATCCTACATATCACTTGAAATGCCTTCCCTTCTTCTTTGAGACGCCTGTAGACATTTCTTTTGCTACACTTTTTTTTCATTATTTTAAAATGTGTAATTCTAGAATGTAGTGTTTCTTTCAGCTACTGGAAGGTGTCAACACTTCAGTCGTTTCCATTTTCTTGGAAGACATATTCTCATTTGTCTCCCAGCTTACAAAGGATTTCTTTTTCTAAATCAAAATTATATTCCATAAAATTTTTATGTCACACATGTATTAAAACTGTTTAAAATAGAGTTTCTTTTTTAGAGAAGCTTTTGATTCACTGCAAAATTGAATGGAAATTTTTCATATATACCTGTGCCATTTTTAATTTTAAAGGGTACTGCTTGGGATTTACTCTGGGAAAATAATATTTTCTTCTGCTAGTATAAGCTTATTTTTTAAAGTCTAGTGTTCAGTAATAATGCCATTTGCTCCACTGTTTGTTTTAGATGCTCTAGAAAAAAGTAGCTAAACACTGTCTACAATATTCTTTTAATTATTTTAAAATTATACTTTACGTTCTGGGACACATGTGCAGAACATGCAGGTTTGTCACATAGGTATACATATGCCATGGTGGTTTGCTGCACCCATCAACTCGTCATCTACCTTAGGTATTTCTCCTAATGCTGTTCCTCGCCCAATACCCCAAACCCCAATGGGCCCCTGTGTGTGATGTTCCCCCACCGTGTCCATGTGTTCTCATTGTTCAACTCCCACTTATGAGTGAAAACATGCAGTGTTTTGGTTTTCTGTTCCTGTATTAGTTTGCTGAGAATGATGGTTTCCAGGTACAGACATGTCCTTACAAAGAACATGAATTCATCCTTTTTTATGGCTTCATAGTATTCCATGGTGTATATGTGCTACATTTTCTTTATCCAGTCTATTATTGATGGGCATTCCGGCTTGTTCCACATCTTTGCTATTGTGAACAGTGCTGCAATAAACATACATGTGCATGTGTCCTTATAGGAGAATGATTTATAATCCTTTGAATATATTACCCAGTAATGGGATTGCTGGGTCAAATGGTATTTCTGGTTTTAGATCCTTGAGGAATTGCCACACTGTCTTCCACATGGTTGAACTAATTTACACTCCCACCAGCAGTGTAAAAACGTTCCTATTTCTCCACAGCCTTGCCAGCATCTGTTGTTTCCTAACTTTTTAATGATCACCATTCTAAATGGTATGAGATGCTATCTCATTGTGGTTTTGATTTGCGTTTCTCTAATGACCAGTGATGATGAACTTCTTTTTCATATGTTTCTTGGCCATATAAATATCTTCTTTTGAGAAGTATCTGTTCATATTCTTTGCCCACTTTTTGATAGGGTTGAATATTCCTTATAATTTCAGTAGGTACAATGAATTGGGTTCAGGTGACCTATCAGATAGTTTAAATACATTATATACAATATCAAAAATATCGGAATGTTAAGCAGTTTTAACTCAGAAAGCTGAAATTAAAAAGACTATATAAACTGAACTCAGATTTCTCTAATAATAAAGTTCTCTCCACTATTGCAAGCTGCTTCTATATTACATATTGTATAAACAAAAATAGTGTTAAAACAAAGCTGTCAGGAACAAAGTGCTAAATAATCTGAATTTGTTAGGTATCTTTTCTTGTTTAACAGTGAATGTATTGAAAATAAAAGTAAATAAAGAATAGGAAATTCTCAATAAATTCGCTTTGCAATCACTATACCTAATTTCAGATTATTTATGCAAATGCCTCTGCATTAAATCCAAACATGAAATGCAAGGCATTCTGTTGAAAAACAGAGTTAGCTAAAAATAAATCAAAGAATAATAGATTTCTCAGATCAGTGTAAAACTGGTAGTAATTTAGGTCCATTGGCACATTTTTCAGAAAGTGCCCTTTAAACTTTGTTAATTGCATAATAACTAGATTGCCCACCTGCCATCATGACAGAGGCTTCTTGTTGCTTTTAATTCTGGAGAAAAAGAGAAAAGATGCAGCTGGCCCACCAATATTTTTGACTGGGACTCAAGCCGATCTGCTCTGCTCTGCCCTTTGTAGCTTGTTCATTGAGATAACACTTCACCAAAATCTACCCTCAAAGATTATGGATTTCATTTGCAGCAAGTTACCTGTGGTATGATAGTACACACATCAGGTCAGGAATCAAAAGATATATGTTCAAACCAAGATCCTGACACCAACTATCTGTATTTGAACTTCATTTTTATCAGCCAAGGGGAGATAACGTTAACCTTTAATCACAGAGTTGTTGTAAGGAGAAGTGAGCTGATATATATAAACTGACTTTGCCAAAATCGAATTGTTATGGAGTTATTTTTTAAAGGTGTATTTTATTGCATTTTAGGTTTAGGGGTATATGTGAAAAACGTGCAACATTGTTGCATAGGTACATACATAGCAATGTGGTTTTTTATTGCAGTTATAGACATATAGTGAACCCTATGCAATTGAATGTTCAGTGCTCCTTATTAATTTGATGTCTACTCCTCCTGATGAGATTCCACTTCCTAAGTCTAGTTGATTTTTAGGTCAGTTGCATTCTTATATGTTATACAGCTTGGTTATCTTGTAATAGCCTCTTGCATTCTTCAAAGCAATCCCCCTCATTTATCTATTTTGAAAATTCAGAATATGAGCCTTGTATGAAATATAGAGCCTTAAAATGTTCCAAAAAATCTAAAATTGGAGAATTGTCACTTCGAAATGGAAAAGAGTAATGCAAGTGTAATTAGAATTCTGAGTCTTAAGAGTCAGCCTTAGACAACAAGAGGCAGCAGAACCTTTGCTACTAGATCTGTAAATGGAGTCCAGCCTCTGCTTACTGCTAGTGTAACTCCAGGCAAATGTGGACCTAACTGCTTTATCTGTTTTCTTAGGAATGTATGGAATAGAGCTCATAATATCTACATCAATATTTTATAGTTAGTGCTAAATTAAATCACACATATAAAGGTCCTTGTGTCCTGGCCTATAGCTGTCAATATTAATCCCCCTTTTCATTAATTTTAGAAGACTACCATTAGTCCTTAGTCCCTAAATTTTGCAAAGGACTTTGGATTTTTTCATCCTTATCAATAACTTCCCCATGGTTGTATACTAAATCTTAATCAAGGATCTCAGTTTTTAAATTAAGACCAAACCATAAATTCTTATGGTAAGTATATAATATACTGAATATTATATATAATACTGAATATTATATATAATACTCTATAAAATATTTATATGGCAATATCTACACTATATAAACTATATATATTACACATATATATTGTAACTTTAAAGACAAAAATCTGAATCAGTGGGATGAAATTATCATCAGTGAGAAGCAAAGGAAAGTGATATAGAATGCAAAATAAAAAATAGCAGATAAATATCTTCTATCAACTCACATATAGACTAGGAGCTCTTTTTGAGTCATAAAAGTATGGTGAATTCCTTACCCTTTTTGTATTATTCTCTCATCTAAGTGAAAATACAAAAGATCAATGCATGTGTAATGGAGTTCAACTGTAATTTACCCAAAATAAGCAATTCAGCAAAAGAGCAAAAACTGAAATTCATGTCATTGGATTCCAAGTACCCTACCAATGACTTTCCTGCCCCAACCCGTTTATTTTGATTATACCCAATTAATGCAAAAGCCTCATCTTATAATCCCTCTGCTCATCTATGTTTTCACACAGGCAACTATGGAGAAAGTGGGATGGAAGCCTTCAAAGATATGGCAGCAAAGGAAGGGATTTGCATTGCCCATTCTTACAAAATCTACAGCAATGCAGGGGAGCAGAGCTTTGATAAGCTGCTGAAGAAGCTCACAAGTCACTTGCCCAAGGCCCGGGTGGTGGCCTGCTTCTGTGAAGGCATGACGGTGAGAGGTCTCCTTATGGCCATGAGACGCCTGGGTCTAGCTGGAGAATTTCTGCTTCTGGGCAGGTAAGCGATGATGAGAAAATTCACATGGAGTTAATACCAAGAATTTGGCAGCAATGAAGGGTAGCATTTAGTATATAATAAAAAATTCTTTCAAAGCTTAATCTGTGCAGTGGAAATAGAGCTTACATTTCATAAAGCACCTGTGCCTGGAGAAAATCATGGAAAATAAGTAGACTGCCATGTGCTGATTAATAATAACAGGAATCAACAAATGAAGATGATGCATCTTTAAGTCCTAAAAAAGTGAGTAAGGAAATGAAAGGGATTTTTATATGCTTGAGTAATTTACTTGGAAAGTAAACATTTCTCAAACTCATAGTTGCTTTTAAAACTGATTTTGAGGATGATTATATGAGCTTGGTTTATAACGTAGAATCATAAAAATTGGGGTTTGGAAGTGAGGAATTACTTTTAGAGCTCATTTTTACAGCATTAGAAACTCGACTTTTTATTCTATATCACAATAGTGTCATTGTCTTGCCTGATTACCTACATTGTTTCTAGACAAGGTACTAAAACATGAGCTTCTACAGAGATTGACTTTAATTATCTGGATAATTCACATGATTAACACAACTCATACCATTCCATGTTGTTGCTGAATCAATGTATTAGTCAAATTCTCCAGATAAACAAAACCAAAAGTATATACATATATAATACAAAATGTACATGTATATGTGTATGTATATATTTGTGTGTGTATATATATATATATATATATATATATATAAGATTTACTACAAGGAATTGGTTCATGTCATTAAAGAAGCTCAGAAGTCACAAGCTACAGTTGGCCAGCTAAAGACCTAGAAGCGCCAATGTGTGTAGTTCCAATTTAAGTCTAAAGGTCTTAGAACCATGAAAGATGATAACATTAAGTTCCAGTCTGAAAGCTGGTAGCCTTGCAACTCAAAATGAGTCAATGTCTCAAGGCTAGGAAAGACAGATGCTCCATCTCATGCTGTCAGGCACAAAATTACCTCTTAGCCTTTTAATTCTATTCAGATCTTCAGTTGATTATTTGAAGTCCACCCATATTAGAGAGGGCAATCTGCTTTACTCAGTCTACTGATTCAAATGTTAATCTCATCCAAAACGCTCTCACAGACACAGGCAGAATAATGTCTGGTAAAATGTCTGGGCACCTGTAGTCCAGGCACTAGACACATAAAATTAACTATCGTAACTAGTAAGACAACACGATAGATTTGAACGTGTGAATGAAATGCACTTCTGAGATGGTAACACTGGAAGTTATCAGTGGTAGGAAAGCAGATTCTTCATTCCATATCTTTAAAACATTATTATATATCACATGTTTTTTATTAACATGCATTCAATTTAAAGAACAGCAAAACCTTAGAAACTTCTACATCTTTCTCAGGGCTTCTGCCCAAAATAGAGAGCCAACTCACTTGTTATTAACTTTTGATGGCTTATTAAAGAAAACATACTTTCTTCAATTTCCAAATGCTTAACTGACCTTCTGTGATCAGACTTAGCTCCAGCTGGGATACATTTTATGACAGCCATTTCATGTACCTAATTCGTTTCTGTCCAATCTGATGGCAATAGATTGATGGGGCTATATTTGTATGAGGCCACACATCCTTCAATAAAAATGATATTGAGTGAGATTCCTTTTTTATCAATGTCATCATTTTGTCAAAATCATCCCTAGTTGGCGGGAATGATGCACCAGTTAGTTTTATACAACCCACGAATATGCCAACTGCCAATATTCTTATACTGTATTCTGAAGTGCAGTGTTACAACTGGGGTAAAAAAGAACAGAAAAAAATCTGGCTTTAAGTATTTCTGTTTTTCTGATAGGGAATAAAGAATTCTATGACTCCTATCTGCTGCATTTGCCAGCATTAATAAGACAAATCAGTAGCATTTGTTTTCAGTCGTATGCTGTATTTGCCAGAAAGTAAATGTTCTTTGATCTCATGTACACACATAAATAGATTGGTTATTATGATATTTACCATTTTCCATCTATAATTTTATTTCCAGAGGCATCACAAAATTTTGTATTTTGTATATTTTAAAACTTATTTTATATGTAATAAACACTGTGTTCATTCCATATCATTTAGTTCATGGAATACTAAATTTATGGCCTTCAGTTAGATTTTTTTATCACCCCATTAACTGGCTATGTAATAATTTGATATTTACTTGAACATCAGCTCATTTCATTTTTGAGCAATTTTGTTAGAAAGCTTTTCTTTACTCCAGATTTTAAAACTATCACCCTGTAATTTCTGCCTCTTGGCCCTTATTCTTTTTTTTAAAAGTAACATGTGATACTCTTTCAAATATTTGAGAACAACAGTGTGGTCCTTAGTACCCTCCAACTTCTCTTTGAAATATCACAATTTCTTCCAACTATCTTAGTGAGATGGCACTGTGGGTATTAATAAAACCATTTATCATAACCACTTATAGAACAGTTTATCGATGCTTTGTGCCAAATACTATCCTAAGCACTTTACATGTATTTTTTCATTTAGTCATTCATTTGACAAATGTTGAATGTTTACAGTGTTAAGGTACTTGAAATAAATCAGTGAACAAAACCAACAATAATTATTGCCTTTATGAAACTTACAGATAAGTTAGATAGAAGGTCATATAAATGTTATGAAAAAAAATCACATCTAAAAACAACCTAAATAATGAGTACTATTCTATTTTATACACATGGGCCCTAAGTAAGACTCAATAAATATTGATGTGTGAAATGGAACAAAAAAGCCAAAGTTAATAGTTGTAAGAAAATGTTTACGACATTTACTAACTCTAATTATACAAATGAGAAAACTGATACCTCCAAAATTTGCATGACATGCTTAAGGTCACACAATTACCCAACTACCATAACTTATAAACTACTGCTGTTTTTTTCTAACTTGTCCTCCGTAGAGTAGAAACAGAGGGAAAGATATTATTTGATAGCAAATCCTCAGTTCTGCATAGAACCTGGGTTTATTTTTTTTTAATCCTAGACAATTCTAATTTTAATTTTAATTAGCATTTTATATCAATGTTACCTCATAAATATTTTTATTTAGTTCACCCTATAATTCCTTTTAGTGTTCTACTCTTACTTTGTTTACGTATGTTTTCCAAATCTCTTTTTCTTCCTTCTCTTCCCAAAAGCAAACTTGAATAAATGGCCTTAGGAACTAGAAATCAAAACTATGAGAAAAAGACTATATTTAGAGCCTACTGGATGATCCACATTTAATAGCTATAGTTACTTATAAATATCTCCATCTGCCATAGGTCAACCATCTTTAATAGGTTATTCAACTTAAGTGTTTGGCAGGACTAAGACAACTCTGCTGCTGAGACAACCTCATCCATCAACACATCTCACCCTCTGTGCTGCACATCAATAGAATGTTAGAATGATATAGGCCTAGCCACGAGGTATTTCCATTTGAGCTCTGGGTACTCTACTGTCTCATTGTCAATAAAAATATCCTGTTCAGGTCCCTGAAATAGTCTTGCTAAACACTTTGGCCCTGAGAGCAGGTTGAGATCAATAATCTCAACAGTAATGGCATTTCTAAGGAGACTTATTTTTCTAGAATGAATACACTGTCTTAGTTCTAGATCTGGGAAAGAATTACTTGAAATGAATTATTTAAAAGTTAGAATTTTTAATAAGACTTGGAAACAAGAACTAGTTTTTAGCAAATTAACTACTGAAATATAGTTTTATTTGATCTATAATTAACTTTAACTATTTGAATAATTTGAGAATCTCTATTCTTTAACATGATGATTACAAGGCCACAGAAAGGAAATGTACTTAAATTTCAAAAGTACTTGGGAATTATAAGTAGCATTTCTTAGTGAGAGGTCAATCGACATCAATATTTTTTTTCAAAATGGAAATGATCAGACCTTACTGTAATAAATATCTTTGCCAATGAAATAACAGTTTTTTTTAGTAAAACTATGATGGTGGCCATTCCCCAGAGGTAAATATATACATTTCTTATTTTTTGAGATAGAGTCTTGCTTTGTCACCAGGCTGTAGTGCAGCAATGCGATCTCAGCTCACTGCAACCTCTGCCCCCTGGGTTCAAGCAGTTCTCCTGTCTCAGCCTCCTAAGCAGCTGGGACTACAGGCACCTGCCACCATGCCCAGCTAATTTTTGTATTTTCAATAGAGACATAGTTTCACCATGTTAGCCAGGATGGTCTTGATTTCTTGACCTTGTGATCTGCCTGCCTCAGCCTCCCAAAGTGCTGGGAATTACAGGTGTGAGCCACCATGTCCAGCAGGCAATTTCTTAAAATAAGACAACAATGAAGTTTGCCACATTAAATGAGTCTTCCCTTTCACAAAAGGAAGTGGTATTTGTCAGTGGTGTAAAATGTTGTTTGATGGCATTTTACTCGCATTAGAACTGCTCTCAAAATTGGAGTCAGTCCTTTCATATTCTGTTATTGCCTTATCTACTAAGTTTAGATAATATTCTAAATTCTTTGTTGTCATTTAAACAATGCTGATAGCACCTTCACCAGAGTATACTCCACCTCAAGAAACCACTTTCTTTGCCGATCTATAAGAAGCAACTCTTCAACAATTCAAGATTTATCATGAGATTGTTGGAGTTCAGTCACATCTTCAGACTCACCTTCTAATTCTAATTCTCCTGCTCTGTCTACCCTATATTCAATTACTTCCATGACTAGAAGTATTGGAATCCCTCTAAGTCATCCATGAGGGTTGGGATCACTTCTTTCAAACTCCTGTTGTTGATATTTTGACCTCCTATGAATCATGAATGCTCTTAATGATACCTAGAATAGTGAACCCTTTCCACAAAGTCTCCAACTTACTTTGCCTATATCCATCTAAGGGATTACCATCTATGGCAGTTATGGCCTTATGAAATGTATTTTAGAAATAATAAGACATGAAAGTCAAAATTACTTGTTGATTCATAGGCTGCAGAATGGATATTGTGTTATCAGGCATGAAAAAAACATTAAATTCTATGTATATCTCCATCAGACTTCTTGGT